AAATAATTGGAGTCTTAATCTATATCTAAAAATTGAAATCTCATTCAATTAAATGTTGATATTTAAATTTGAAAATCCATTATATATTTTAATATATCAACATTTAATAAAATAATTTTTTAAATTTTGAATTGAGTTTTAATTAAATAAAACGATATAATTTAAAGTTAAAATTTTAATTATTTTTAAGAATCAAAATTAAAATACACTTTTCTCTTATATTATAATGTAAAATAAATTTTTTTTAATAAAAACATGTTATTATTTAAAAATTTTTATTTTATAATTTAATAAATTTAAATTACAAAATAGTTTTTCAGATATAACATACCGACCGATCAGTAAACAATACAACATCCATGTGTGGTGGATAAAATAATTAGACTTTATTAACAGTGAATTTTTTCCCGTGGTTAAAACAAACTTGTATCACGTGATATTTTTTAGACAAAGTTGTTGTAGTAAAATTAGTTGTGCATGGCCCACGTGTCAACATCGCATTAATCGTGCGTATCTAACACTGGATACGCGTGTCCCAAAAAATTTAGATGTAAAACTATTGAACGACGGGATTTGGGATGAATAAAGTCAATATTGTAAACTGATGATGATGATGATGATGATCAAAACTAAGTTTCGATCTCCAATGTATGATGGGTGGATGGATGTTGGTTAAATCTTAATTTGGTCTATGAATTATTGTATAAATTTTTGATTTAATTTTTAAATTAAAAATTTTTTTGATTTGATTCCTAAATTATTATATGAACCTCAACTTGATCTTTATAGTTTACTAATTTACCTCAAGTTGATATTTCCGTACAAAAAAAATTGATATATTCGTTATTTAATTATAAAAAATAATAATTTAATAATCATATGTCACGTTAATAATAAGACACATCAGTTGATTTTTGTATGTAAGGATCAGTTTGTGATAAATTGATAAACAGTAGAACCAAATTGGGGGTTCATACAAAATTTAGGGATTAAATTAAAAATTTTTTTAGTTCAGAGATCAAATCAAAAATTCATACAATAATTTAAGGACCAAATTAGAGATTGAACCATGGATGTTTGTGTTTCAGGTGTTTACGACTATAGGGTGGGGGTCCCATTCATGAATAATTGTTTAGGATGTTTCGCGTGATTGACGTTGAAATAATTGTTTTATTGTTAACATATGTGGTTTTAAATAATTTTGAGTTTTCTTTCTTAGCTTAGGACATGAGATGATCTCTCCGTATCTTAGTTATTACGTCTTTACAAGAGGGTATAATACATGAGAAAGGTGTAATGATTTGTAGATAAATTTTTTATTTTTTTTATAATTTTTATATATTGTTGAATAAATATATATAATACTATAAATTTTAATAGAATAAAAAAAATTAATCATTAAATAATATAAAAAATTATATAATTAAAAAACTTCTCTCAATTATTTTTCATATTATCATATGTACTAAAAGTGTAATGTTTCTAAAATTTTAAATATGATAATGATCTTTATAACATAACAGATAACATTAACTGAGTACATATATATTGAATATTAATGCATGGTTATTGAATAAAATTAGTATTTTACAATATATATATATATATATAAATACATCATTCTTCTAATATATATGAACGCACTACTATGTTCAAAATTAAGCTCTTAACTGAGTTTTCATCACAACTCAAAAAAGCTGACCCACATTGTCTACTATCAGTCTCTTTCTTAAGCTTCCAATTCTGAGTTTCATTTCAAATTGCTTTATATGTAAAAATTTCTTATGTGTGAACAAAGAATTTATCAATGTCGTGCTCTGCAAGGTTATGCTCCTTTTTGACCGTTAATTAGATCCACAACTAATCATGATTAAAGCATGTGCACATTTTGTCAATGGAGTCTAACATATTTTGGTATTCGAGGTATCTACAAACGAACCCTTATTAAAGGGAAACATGTTTACACCTTCTCAATCCATCATGTACGAGCTAACTGTCAAACTATAGTTTTATTGATTCATTTGGTTTTCTTGGATTCCATCTTTCCTTTTCAAACGATGTTTCTTTCTTTTTATATTCGTACGATTGCAGGTAAAGCGATTTAGTTGGTTTTTCAAGGACATTCATGCATATGGATTAAATTATTTTTTCCCAAAGTTCCCTAACTTCTGTGGTTTATAGCAGAAACCCGAATTATTATTATTATTATTATTATTTTTGATTACATGGGTGTCTAAAATTTTTGCTGAATCTCACAATTACGTGTATGTTGTCCCATTCATAAATATTGGATAAAAATAAAAATTTATTTTAAGAGTGATTAATGTTATTTTTAAAATTATTTGTATGTACCCAAATAACATTTGAAAAATTCAAATTATATTTTTAATATGGTTCCAATCACTACTTAATAATTTAACTCAATCCTGAGTCGAGAGATATGAAATTATTATGCACACGATAACCTAGATTTAGAATTTAGATTGAAGGATATCCTTTTGGAATAAATTAACGAATAGTTTTATTGAACCTAACCCACCTTTTTGCTTTATTATATGGATCCAATGAATTTTCACTAGGGTAGTATTGTGGGAGTTAGAAAAATAAAAGCTAGCTATAGCTGGTCCACCATCACCCACTATAAGGGCTCAATCAGAAGTTGATCTCACTCAAATGCAAAACATATACTGAACTGAAGTGACCTCTACAAGTTGATGAGTAGTAAGTAGTGATTAGTCGTTCTCTTAAAACTTCCACAATTGCTTTTGACATCTGGGACCATCTTTTGCCTTGAATTTTATATATATGGGCATCCACATGTTGGATTTCTAAATTTTATTCAATGTTTAATTTCTAAACTAAACAATCAATTGAATTTGAATGTGTGCTTTTTTTAGTTAAACAGTTGCATTAAAGCATGAAAAGCTCCCTGTTTCCACAGAGCAGTGCCTAACTCAAATAGTTAGACAAAAAAGAGATAGATCATTTTTTAGCCGAATAAGATAAAACATATACCTGTAGGCAATTTGTCAGAGACAAGGTAGACAGAACAGGAAGCACCAGGTTTCTCCAAACACACATGTGAAGTTGTGTGCATCAAACTCTTTTGGTAATGACCAAAAAAATAAAATAAATAAAATAAAAAAATAAAAAAACTCTTTTGGTAGGACCCTTTTCCACGTTGGGGCATGTTGGGACCACAAAGGCACTGACCCCACTAAAAAAATTGAACAAAAACTTAACCCTCTTTTTCTTATCTCTTTGTGCCCTTATTTTGGTGGAGATCAAAGAATTGTCCAATCAACAACACACTTTTTAGCGACTACTCTTGTTGATTAATAGACAACAATGTGGTGCCTTTGGTTGGCTTCCAACCATCTAATCTAATTTAATTATATTAAACAAGCCAAAAAAAAAAAAAAAACACACTTTTGGGTAGGCTTAATTTAACATCTTGCTTTCCTTTGTGTTGATTGAAGAGATGCCACCATTATCATTTTAAGATCCCCCGAATCCGAACCTGGCCCACTTTGTGTTGATGCTTAACAAGGAAATTTAACCAATGGGGAAGTATATAAAATGTATTAAAAAATTTTAAAAATTATTGTGTAGTTTATAATGCATAATTTAAATTATGAAATAATGGCGGATTCACTTATATTAATTTTTTTTATCATCTAATAATTT